CCTCGGAAATCTTTTTTGGAGGGTGCTAGAAAGATAACCAATGGAGACACTGCGGACGCCAGCCAGATGGTTGGTGGAGAGCGAGTCGTGGGTTCGAAACTAGCTTTTGGAATCGGGAATGGGTCCAACGGACGAAATAAGTAAATATAGGATAAGAGATATTAGAAAAGATACAGAAATAAACAAAAAGATAGATGGGTAAATTACCAAAGATACGATAAGATAGAAACAGGGCGCCACTCAATTTTTTGGGGTTAAGGAGAACATTAAGAAACCTTAGAAAAGAAAAGAGATAAGGAAAGATATTTAGATCGAAATATCGATCGATAGAAAGATCGGTACTCATAAGTAATTCGTTAAGATAAATTAGAGAACGAGATAGTTGTAGGAAATCTCTAATTAAAAACAAGGTATCAAAATGGCTTAAATAACAACACTGGATAAAATCCTAATCACAATGGAAAGCATATGCCAAAGTGGAAGTCAAAAAGAATTAAATAAAACTCAACTAGCATTAATAAGAGTATAAGAAGAAGAAAAGAAATTGAGTACCTGGTTGTCAGTTGATAGCTTCGCGTATCACACGCCTAAATTTAATTTAGGGTCACAATCGGTAAAGTCGCAATCGATAAAGTCACAATCGGGTCGAAATTGACATAACGAAAACTTCAGGGAAAGGGGTCTGTAGACAACATCAGTACTAAAAGAATGAAAGGGTAAGAAGAATTAAGAGGAATGTGTCTGTCTTCCTTAAAAGCTCAACAGGTCCCTAGCGGACGAATCCCAGATCATCATCCTAGCCGTTCCTCTCGTGACAACTAGTAATCCAAAACAGATTCCGAAATATAGAAGAAAAAGAAAAAAAAGATTTGCGTCGATAATTTTATTCTCATGATTCACACATAGTAGCTTGATTTATCACTGGCCGTAGGACAGAGCAAAAGTAATATATCGCCATTCGGGGTTTATAAATCCATAAAGGATTGAGCATCAGTTTTTTTATACGAATCAACAAAACTTCTACTATATAATATAGGAGTTACCATGATACTATGAATAACAAGATAGGATCTTCCCGTAGCCCAAAATCGGTCGTGTTCGCGCATGCCGTCATTGGAAAGTAGAATTTAAATTTTTGTTAAAGTTAAATGGCATACAATAATTGTACACATAAGGATATCTCCAAACTATTTATTAAAGATTATTTATTGATACAAACAAAAAACTGACATTTCCAACGTGCAACTCTCCAATGACGTCACGACTTATGCGCAATATCTTATCTTCTTATCATAGTATCATGGGAGTTACTATAACTACTATAAAGATAATAAAAGTATAATAACCTAATTAAAGTTATTACAACTTTAACGGTGCAGTAAGCAAATGATTTTTCGCTTACTGACCAGGTAATGAGCTTTCGCACAGATAATTTTATGTGGTTTTCCACCTAAATAAGATAAATAAGAAGATAAGATAGCGAGCAAAGATAAATTGAACTTTACTCAAAGGTAATTTAAGTGACTTTTCACATATCGGTAAGATAATGAGTTCTGCTCAAAGATAATTTAAGTGATTTTTCACTTATCGGTAAGGTACTAGAGAACAGCGAGTAATTAGCTCACTAGCCGATCTAATCGATAACGGTATGGTGATATTTTTCACATAACCGTACTCAAAGATATGTGACTTCTGGTTTGCAATCAAAGAGGTAGACGAGAGAAGATAGAAGAGAAAAATATTCAATATGAATATATAGATAGGACGGTAGATAAAACAAACTATGGGGTTAATAATAAAAAAAAATGTTACAATACTATGTAGTAATTAAACACTAAGTTAACATTTGGCTTCATTTTGCAAGAGTTATGAAGATTATACTTTAGTAAATGTCAAATTTATAGATAAAATTTATTTTAATTTTAATTAATGTTATCAGTATATTTTTAATTAAGTATAAATCAATTTAAGACTATATTGTAATAATTTCACCTATATTTTTTTTATTGGGAATAACCCGCATCAACCATAGAAGGTTATTAGCGGTGGTACAATATAGACTATTATATTCTAACGATTAATATAAAATATAAACTATAAAGTTTTTACAAAATTGATTATAATTTAGAATTTTTCTTGAAGTATCACTTATATTTAATTATACAATTTCGTTTTCTTTAAAAAACCTAATGATTTTGTCACAATCCGCACTGTCTAAAACGCCCTTTATATCACGTGGTCGTCCAGTAGCTTGTCTTTTCATTTGATATAATGGACAGTCTATAACAATGTGGCCTACAGTTATATTGGTGTTACAGGCGTATCATATTCTTGAAGGTTCCTTCCTTAGTAGGTGTTCGTGCGTCATTCTGATATGTCCTATACGGATACGATGTAGTGCAACCTGGTCCCTTCTTCGCTTTACTAAAAATGGTGTTTTCGCTGATATAAGGTGATATAAGGTGATCGCTGATGGTGTTTTAGATCTGGGTTTACTTGCCGCAATTTATTATTTGGTAAGAGTTGTCATCTTCGGAACCATAAGTTTTTTGTGTACTCATTGATGCATTTTTTCATATCTGAGTGAGGAATTTGTTTAGTTCTATCATCGGATCTCTCCATTTTACAAGCTTCTTTGGCCATTTGAGCAGCTATCTCATTTCCTGGTATCCCCACATGTAATGGTTTCCACACAATATGTAGTTGTTTATGATTATTTTGTAGAGTCACAAGGTATTTTTTAATCTGTTCTAAAATCGCATGATTCGGATATATTTTCTGAGTTCCCTGGATCACACTTAAGGAATCTGTGAATATTACTGTCATGTCTTCAGGTCGATTAAGAGTTGGTTGTACTGCCATGAATATCGCATAAAGTTCAGCAGAATATATTGAGTAGTCCTTAGGTAGTGGAAACTTGAGCACAAAATCCTCTGTGACAATGGCGGATCCTAGTGTTTCCAATTCAGGTGTTTTTGATGCATCGGTATAAACTAGTTGACAGGATGAATATTTATTTTTAATATTGTAGAAGAACTGGAGAAAAAGAAATTAAGGGGTATTGTCCTTAGTAAAACATGACAGATCTGTGTTACAATATGGAATTTGTATAGTCCAAGGGAGAGCATAATTAATATCGGTATGCATAATACCCGAAAATGTGAAGTTGCTAATTCTTTTGCTAAATGATGGTCGAAGATTCACCAATATTTATTCATTGTGAAAATTATGTTTTACTAGTAGTTGATAATTTAAAACACAATTAAATAGTACCCATACAGCGTAAAAACTTCACATAGACTACTTATTAAAAGTTATTGTTAAATATTTCAAAAATAATTCAGGACTGCTTTTTGTTGTTATTAAAAGATTATGGATGAAACGGAAGTTTCGGCGAAATGGAAAATTTCAAAATATAGTAAAAAGTTTCATTGAATAGTTTTTAAACAGGACAATTGTTCAATGAAATAATTTCGAAAATTGTCTAAAAAGTTTGATGAAAAGTCCTGAGAAAATGAAATTTTTGGTTGAAAAATTTTGAAATTTTGTTAAAATGTTTCGTAAATTTTTGGACAGGAAAACAGTATAATAAAATGTTATGTGGCGGTTTTTTGTAGTGTTGGAACAAAGGATAGCTCTGTTCGTATTCCTTTCCCACTTCCCCCTAACTACATCTTTCATGATGATTTAAATTAAAGCCAACGGCCACAGTGTGAGTTTATGCAGTCGTCCTCTTAAGGAATGTTTTAAAATATAATAACCGTAACCAAATCGCCCATTTGAACTAACTTCTATATTCTTTCGTACTGGTACAAGGTTTTATTTTGTATTATAGCCATCGAGTTAGAATTATAGCTATGGCAACGCTGACTGTTGGGACATCAAACGACTGTCACTGTCATTTCTTGTTGTTTCATGGTAAACATTAAAAATAAAATCATACGTCCATGAATAAAACATATTTTAAATGGAAAATACATAAAAATTATCGTTGATTGCCTAAGTTGATCAGGAGATTATTTTGTGCCATGTCCTGTCTTTCTCATGTCTAATAAATATTGAAAAAATTCATGGAATGTCACACGTCACAGTCACAATCGTCTGAAATCATCCGAATCGTCTGATTAATCGAATAATTCAATATCATGCTATCATTCATTTGAATAATAATTCTTGTATCATGTTAATAATGATGTTATATTGACTTTATCACAAAACTACCGGAAGGAGCAAAATTAGAAAATACAGTGAGCAAAATCTAACAGCTATGAAAAAAAAAATTATGGAGTGTGGCCATAACGAGATCTTCCAAATTGTCTCATAACCGTCTAATTAATCCATCGAGCAATAAGACAAAAGAGGGAATCTAATCGTTATTAAAAGGAGACCAAAAAAGTGGCCTCTGATGGCGGACACATCCGGAAATGCAAAGGCGCTAAATTTAAATTTTCCAACACTTGTTAACAATAGCTGTAAAATATTTTTCAGACAAGAAAGTTTTAATTAAATATTAACGATAATAGTCTAAAAATTGACTCAATTGGTAAAAAACTTCAATATAAATAAAATTTCATGTGACAGTTGGGACAAACAATAACATAACCAAACTAAATTTGACTTCTTAAACAAGGATAGAGACTGTCTATCCTTGTCTAAAGTGGCCTCTCAAGATGGCACTTCCTGTCTATCAATATGTTTACCCCTTCTACCTTTACATTCCCTCTTTTGTCTTATTGCTCGATGAATTAATCGAACAATCGAAAGTCGTTCATCTTCATTTAAATAATTGTTGTATTATGTCAACAATGATGTTTACTTTATGAAAAAATTACCGGAAAGTGTTATATCAGGTAATAAATTAACGGAATTTGAACTTTACACCTTATAGTGCATAGAATAACGTCATTCACTAATAAAGATAAGATTGCAATCAATCACCTGTGCACTATAGGTAAAATTTATTGAATGTTCTAAGCGAATCTTCTGGAAATACTGTAATAATGATTCAGTTAAATTGGCCTGCTATTGGTTTCACCATTTTGCCCAACTTGGGAGGAATTGCAGGCGGCTTTATCACCAGAAAGAGTATTAATCCATGGTATGAAAATCTGAAGAAACCAAAATGCAGGCCACCAAATTGGGCGTTTGGCCCTGTTTGGACAACTTTATACAGTGGAATGGGATATGCTTCATATCTTGTCTACAGAGACGGGGGTGGATTTCAGGGTAAGTTACTAAATGCAAATATTTGTAAAATATATTTTCAGAGAAATTAAATTAAAATCTCAACCAGTTCAAGTCCTGTTCTCCCTTTTTTCATCATTTATTATCAGTGAGTTTATCCTACTTTTTAATTTTCTAAAGCCAATCGTTTATTGTTTCTAATTGTGAAAACGGTATGGCAAATCTGATTCCTGATATAATGATTTGATTAACTTTTCCATTTCTAGACTTTTTGATTTTTTGGATATTAATGTCTACAACATTGTCCAGTGACCAGAAGACTCGCTAATATATCTTTATTTTAATAGTGAAATGACCGAAATCTATATCTTGTGATGCATTTTAAATAATTAGTTTTATGAGTCACATGTTCAAATTTTTTCTCAAAAATCAAAAGATGTTATCAATGAGGATGTTCTCAGATACATTGATAGTAAAACAATTAAGTATTGTTTAGTTGAAAGTCAAAGCCTGGAATATATTGGTCTTATTATAAAAATGAAGAAAAGTATGGGAACTATATGTTAAGTATTATGCAAGGAAAGATTGAAGATGTTCCTATGAGAGGTCCCTCTCTATCTCTCCCTGTCATGTATATCACAGAAAAATATCCTGGTTTGTGTACTTCTGGAAAGTGGTTTAGAACAAGATAAACCAAATTAGTTTTCAGTTCATGAACAGGGACTAGGTATATTAATTACTATTTAAATGGGAATAAGCCACAATTAGAGATTAAAATTTGTTTAATTTACTAATGTTTGTATTTTGAGAATGATTTCCGAAGTGTAAATTGAAACATCAATAAACTGTGGGAATGGGAATAAACCTGTAATTGTGGTTTATTCCCATTTAAATAGTATTTACTTTAAAATGCCACAAGAAAATAGCTTCAGAACAATATTAAGAGAAATTAATTGAGATAAACTTAAGGGTACAACTTAAGGAACACCTGTAGGGAGAAGAAGCAAAGGCTGACCACGAATTAGGTGTTTAGATGGAGTTGAAACCGACTTACGGATATTAAAAATCAGAAGATGGCAACATGTTGCCAGAAACCAAACAGAATGGCGACGAATCTTAGAGCTGGTCAAGATCCACAGAGGATTGTCGAGCCAAAGATGATGAAACTTAAGGGTTAATAAAATCAATATTTTAAATATTTTGGAAATAATTCAAATGGAATAAAAAATTACATTACAGTGAATTTATACAAGATCCTCTGCATATGAATATTTAATAAGATTTAGTATACTGCATTATCTAGTGGGTATTTTGAATTACTTATTGTAGGAAGATTCTTGACATTTGAGAGAATAACTGGGAACTAGCGAATTAGAACATGATAAACTGGAAATCTTGTTTAACCAACCAAACATCATTAATGAGATAAAAATCTAGGGACTGATCTGAGCAGGTTATAAGTATATAGCCAATAGAGAAAAGCTCATCAAACAGATATGGGAGGAACTTCTGATTGGCAGGAAACCCCTAGGCAGACCTAGACTCAGGAGGATAGATAACATTCTAAAAGGTTTGCATGCCATTGGAATACACAACTGATAAGAAGATATGATTGACCAAAATAGATAGAGATACATGCATACATGAGGCAAAGATCTTTGCAGTCTTGTGAAGCTAAAGAGAGAAATAAATACTAATAAAGGACTTCCGAGAGATTTTAAACAAAAATGCCCATTCCGTGGAGATAAGCAATTGGTATTTCTACAATATGTATTTCGAAAGAAGCATCATACAATAGGTCCATTCAACACCTTACAGTGGTGAAAACATTTTGGGAATATTTTTAAAAAATATCCAATCCAATGGTTCCTAGTAGACTCAACCTGGCCAAAATGGCTATTTTAGGTAAAACCTCTGTAAATAGTAGGTGGTTGAATGCTTTCACTTTTCTTGTAGGTATACTGTAGACCTAAAAATAGCAGACTACCTTGTTATATTTTTTTGCTTCCCTAACTGTGTAAAGTATATTATTATTATTAGATGCATTTAAGAGATAACAAATGATAAAACCATATATTTCATAATGTTGGTTTTTATAACTCATGTAAATTGAACAAACAACCTTGTTAGATAAGATTGTGGTGATTCAGCTAGTTATGTCTAGATAATACTACTTAAATGCATATAATAACAAGGTAATAAAATGTTTTAAGATTAAACATGTATAATTTATTTATTAATATTGGGAATGATGTATTTCCCACAGTATGAAAATTGTTCATTATTAAGTATGTGATAATCTTCATTTTCATTTAGGTCATAAAATTAACATTTAATTAATCCATTTCACAAGTTTCCATAAAGTGAGCAATAGAAGTTCAATGATAACTTTAGTTATGAGTTTGATGTCAAAAAAAAAAATAAAAAAATCCTTTTAATTGTCTGTTTATTCAATTATTTATTTAATGTAAAAGGAATCAAAACCAGCCATCTTACATGTCAGTTTAATGAGAGTTTTAGAAGCAATAAATATATATCTTCCCCTTTAGGATCCTTTTTCTTACCAAAGGTTTACCATCAATGTGGTATATCATCATCATGATATAAATATGTGATATATGTAATATGTCATTAAAAGTAAAGGTGTCATAAAAAAACCCTAAAACCTCCAAAGGTGATTTATTTATCTAATTCTAACAGTTTTTATGACTTCTATGAGTTTAATTTTTTGATTTCAGACTGTTTTATTGTGCACGCTTCCATGCTGTATCATCATCAGTGGCATTACAGCTTGTCATGGGTCAAAGCCTTCTTCAGAACAATCTTCCATTCGCCCCTGTCTCTGGCAACTCTTCTCCATGCTTTAACTCCTTTTAGATCATCCTCTATGTTATCTTGATACCTAAGTTTTGGGCTTCCTCTGGATCGTCTTCCCACTGGTGCTCTTCAATCGAAAATTTTTCTGATTGTTGCATCACCCATGCTGTACAGTAAAGTAGAAAAACGTAACAACGTAGCATTCTTGTGCGGATCTCAAGATTAAGGTTACAGTTGTAAAGTAAGTTCTTCAATTTTATGAACGTGTTTCTTGCCATATTTATTCTAGATCTGATTTCTTTTGATTGATCTGCATGTTCGGTTAGCCGCGTTTCTAAATATTTATATGTTGTTACTCTTTCGATCGTTGTATTATTGATAGGCAGGTTATCTACATTTTGTGGTTTTTTTGAGAATATCATTGATTTTGTTTTCTTGAGATTTTGTATACATGTTGTATTATGTACTGTAGATCTTCCATGTCACTTGCAAATATGACAGTATCGTCCACATATCTAATGTTATTAATGCTATTTCCGTTTACCAAAATACCTTCCACAATATCCAATAAAGCTTCTTGAAATATCACTTCACTATAGACATTGAATAAGAGTGGTGAAAGTATGCACCCTTGTCAAACTCCTCTAGTATACTTACTTCCTCTATCAGTTCCCCTTCGACTCTTATTCTTGCTTTCTGATTTTGATACAGATTCGATATAATTTGTAGATCTCTACTATTTATGTTTTTGGTCTCAAGAATTCCTAAAAACTTTTCATGTTGAACTCTTTCAAAAGCTTTTTTAAAATCTATGAAGTAAGCATATATGTCCTGATTCATATCCAGAGATCGTTGTGTCAGAACATTGACTCCAAATAAGTAATGCTTCTCTAGTTCCTAGACCCTTTCTTAAACCCTTCTGTGAATCACTTATTTCTTGTTCTAATTTCATGTGGATTCTATTATGTATGATTTTAAGGAAGGTCTTCAATGTGAGGCTCATTAATGCAATTGTCCGATAGTCATTCCAATCTTTAGCATTTGTGATTTTTGGAAACGTTACAAAAGTTGAGAGAAGCCATTCTTTGGGTATGTGTCCCATCTTGTATATGGAGGTCTACCAAGACATCAATATTATCTTCATCATCGGGTCCTGGAGCTTTTCTACCTTTTGTGTTTATGGCATAAATAACTTCCTCTTTCATTATTTCTGGTCCCATGGTTTCTCCGTCTTCTAATTGTTCTACTTTTTGGTCATAAAATAGGTATTCAATGTATTCTTTCCATCTATGTAATTTGTCTTTCGTTTCAGTTATAGTGGTACCATCTGCATTTGTTAATATCCTGATTGGTTTGTTACGATTTCCTGAAATCATTTCTTTAACCTTCTTATGGGTGTTAAAAGTGTCATACCTTGCCTCACATTCCTCAATTTCTTGACATTTAATGGACATCCATGTTTCCTTAGCTTGTTTTATTTTCTGTTTTATTTGTTTATTAATTTATTGATATTTAATTTTATCTTTGTTTTTATGTATTCTTCTTTCGCCCATCTTTTCGAGAATTTCTTGTGTCATCCATTCTTGTTTGGCAGCTTTTGTAAATGTTAATGTTTTCCGTCCCACAGTCTCCATTGTGTTCTTTATATTCTTCCATTTTGTTTCAATATCTGTAGTGTTCTTATTTTGTTGTTTATTTCTTGCATACTCTGATTTATTTTATTTCGAGTTTCTTGGTATGTATTTGGTTCTCTTAGTTTATCAATGTATATTTGTGGTCTAGATCTTTTCATTAATGGTTTTCTCAATCTTACATTCATATTTGCTACTACTGGGTTGTGGTCCGAGTTTACATCTGCTCCAGCGTGTCTTCACTACTGTAATAGAGTTCTTGTACTTGTTTCTTATCAAGATGTAATCTATCTGATTTCTTATAATTCTATCTTTGTTGTCTCCAGGAGCTTTCCACGTGTAGAGCCGGCGATTTGGTAATTTAAACATTGTATTCATAACAGCAGTTCTTCTATTTGGCACATCTGAATTAGTCTTTCACCACGCCTATTTCGCTCTCCCAATCCATACAATCCAATTATTGAAGTCATATTACTTCAATTATGATAAGCCATAAAAACTTTTTTTATAGTGTGATTTTAAAGCACAGCTTGCTTAAACTAAAAACAAACCTTTTAGTATCAGACCATGTAGACTGTCCTATACAGAGAAAAGCTCATTGGATTGAATCTTTCGAACCATCTGTGAACAGTTTTTCATTACAACCAAGACCAAGTCGATCAACGAATTGTTGTTTAGTTAGATCAACTTTAAAATCGTACGAAAATTTTCATGATAAATTTTCATTTTCCTAACGAAATTGATTGTTGTAAAACTTGGTTGCTAAATCCAGCGATAGTTTTTTTAATCTATCGCTGGATGATGTCAATGTTGTTTATCATAAGAAATATCAATATTAATGAAAATCATATTTACGAAGTCAAGTAAATGCTTATGTAAACATTTCTCCGATTATATCATTTTTATTTTTTTTTTAAATATCTGCTAAATAATACCCACATGTTAAAAGAAAGGAAATAGAAAATGAGTACATTAAATATTTTATTATTGATGTTTTACTAATACAATTGCAAATTTCACTTTTAATTTAATACCACTTATTGAACATCAATCCATAAAGTTTTCGATAGAAAGAAGGTCGATAGAAAGAGTTACTAGTAGCTGAATATGAAGGTTGCGTTGTAAAGTCTTTTAAGTTTTTAAAGTCCTTTTTCTATTTGTATTTTGTTGTTAAATGTTATGGTTTTCTGTGAAATTCTATGTTACCATTCACTACTTATTTTCCTTTCTCCCCTTTTTCTTTGATAAAGTTGCTATATACCTTCTTTGATAAATTACATTATATTCTATGATTCTAGGGCCAGCCAAATTACCCTTAATTGTCTACGGGGTTAATCTCGCAGCTAATTGGGCATGGACACCAATTTTCTTTGGAAAGAAGGATGTACAACTGGTAAGCCAAACAATAAAAAAATTTACTATATTAATTATCTGTTAATAAATTTACATTTTCTTTGGAAACAATTTCGGATTAGAAACCGAAACGTTTAAAACAAGAAACATTTATTCGTAAAATATAGAATATTGAATGTTTGTTTTTATTTATATTAGTTCCTCTTTAAGAGTAAAAGACTTCATCTACGAGGCAGATCGTATTATCTTACTTGGAAAAATAGTTTTAGAAAAACATCTTTTCGCCACTGCTCTTGATCGTTTATAGCTCCAAATATTTTGCGGAGTATCTTACGCTCGAATATTCCCAAAAAACTTTCATTCTTCTGCGTTAGAGTCCAGGTCCCCGCCCCATATGTGAGGATCAGCCCTATCGGCGATTTGTATATAATAATTTTAGTTTTTTTCTTTGGATATTTGTAAGGTTTATTCGTCGTTTAATTTCTTCGCTGGTTTTATTGGTAGTAGTCACTAGCTAGCCTAGGTATGTGATGCTGTCAACACGTTCAAAGATATGACTTCCAAATGCTGTTTCCCGTTCTTCAGTTGCTATAGGGTCCTTAGTAACCAACATGTACTTGGTTTTGTCTTTGTTGAAGACTAGACCGACCGTCGATTCCAATTGTAGGAATATCCAGGAAATATAAATAATAAATAGATAATAAAGTATCACAGTTTGACAAAGAAAAACAAGAAACACGGAATACAGTTAAACTGTTAAACAAAATGGGCGCCAATAAGTTTTAACATGAAACTCATACATGAACTCAAGATTAAATCAACTAAACAAACATTTTTCTTAAAAAAGATCAGAAAAACACACGTCAGAAAACATATCAAATTATCGACAAAAAACTATAAAAATTGACATATCTAACCATAAGCTGCAAGAAAAGGTTATATATTTAATAAAATACTTTAGAAGAATTGTTATATTAACTTCTACAAAAAAGTTCAAATAATGTATATCGCTCCGGTCAAAAATAAGATAATACGTCTTAAAAAAGTATTTATTAAACTTGCAAATATGAATTAAAAAAAATAAATAATAAACATTGTTTATTCATACCTTATTTATTTATTCATAAATAATACATATACTGTCATTAAAAATCTTATACTTTTAAACAGATTGCAGGCATTTATATAATTTAAATACAATTAATACAGCAATTACTTATATCAAAACTTTAAAATCTCAACAAAAAAATCGAAAATCAAATGAATCTTTGACTACAATCTGAACGAATATCATTGGCCATTGTTCCGTTTTACTTAAAGTAACGTTACAAAATTACAATGTTACATAATTTAGTAACATACTCAAAAAAAAACTAAAAAAGGAACTATCAACAAAAAAAATGATAAAATTGAATGTCCCTAAGAGCAAAAAAAAAACATTATCATTAAAATATTAACTCATAATAGTTTGTTGACTTGCGATGATAGGGCCGTAGGCCTGGAGATAAATAGAACTCTAGATGTTGAAATAAAGTATCTTTAACTCTTCAGCAAAAATATTACTAAAGGTGATTGGCCTCGACGTGACAAAAGGAGCTTGTTAGTGAATGTTAGCAGCAATTAGTGAATGGCCAGAGGGACTCTACAAATTGACAAAAAAGTATATCTTACTATCGCAATTAATTAATAACGAACAGTAAAGGACTTACCACAAAATAGTGAGTTTCTCTAGATGGTAACTGACAAATAAAATGGGATTTTGGCTTTTTATAAGTTAGGCCTAAGCTTGTAATTTTTGGGAAAGGGATGTGTACTTTAGTTCTAAATAAAAATTAATGAGAAAATCCCAGTAGTTGGCTGTATACCATCGTTTAATAAAACATACAGAAGTTAAAGCACTTCATAATTGTATTTTAGTATAAAAACATATAGTTAAAACTTTTTAAAAAGTGTCGTCAAAATTTATATAGTAGCATAACGTTTTCGATCTGATCAGATCATCCTCAGTGCCTTATGTAGTTGAAACTAACAATAAAGTTGTGGTTGTGACATCCATATATGGGTTTACATCATTCCCAATTTAAATTATGTTGTGACTCTAGGTCGATGACATTGGATAAAGGGACTACCTGTCTTCCTGCTCGGTTTTTAACACGTAGTACTTATCAGTTAAAACGACACAGATCAACAAGCAGTTTTCTGTATGTTTTTTTAGTTTTAAATATTGTTTTCCATGAGAAAATGATACGCTTTAGAAAGCTTTTCTATTTATTACTAAAAAGTTCTTTCAAGAACGAGGTTACGTACTCATACGTATTTGAAGTGATACAAATTAATAATCCCAAGACATAGTTAAATAAATATATAGGCCAGTAATACAAAAATTTAGCACTTCACAAATGTTAAATTCTAATGTTTTTTCGAGAATCTGTCTTTTTGAATTAATCTGGTCAATTGTTGATTTTTCTGGAGTAAATCTGGCCTGGTATTTTCCAACTATGCCAACTGTGTAAACTTGTAGCCTTTCGTAGAGAATATTTGCTAGTATTTTGTAAGCAGTTGTTACTTACAATTGTTACTTTCATGAATGCAATTCTTGGATCTTGGTTATGTTTGTTTTTAACGCATTCCAACTTTCTTCAATTTCTTAATTTTGTACTGGGTTTGGTATTTTTTCTTTCTTGCTCTTGACTTCTCTCTTTTTTGGGGTGTTTTTAGACTTTCAGTGACCCTTTTTAAGTTTTAAAGTCCATTAGAACTGGATTGTGGTCGCTTTAAATGTAGTAAATTTGTATTTTGTACTTGACACTAGTCAGTGATTAGTTGATAAAGATGGTGATATGTTACTACAATATAATGTGTAATACGTATTTATTATTTTTAGGCTCTCATTGAGATTCAGCTAATAAACGGCACAGCTTTGGGATTGACATACCTTTTCCACAAGATCAACCCTACAGCTGGCTACCTTATCGTACCATATTGCATCTGGTTAGGTTTGGCCACTGCCTTAAACTACTGCATTTGGAGAGACAACAAAACCCCACCAGCTATAACTGAAATCAAAGAGCAATAAAGGAAAAAGGATAGTAGTACAATTATGTATGTTTAAGGCGCTTTTTATATCAATATGTGGAAAATGATAAGGATTTTTGTTTATATTTTATAAGTAAATTGCTTAATAGTTAATTTTTATGTTTATACACAAAACAAAATTATCGTTTTGGAAAAAGGATTGGCAAAAGAGTTTTAGAAGTTTATTCAGGCAGTCATAAATTGTTCATCAATTTTCAAATATCGAACACATTATATAGGAAATATATCTACTAATAATATTGTGCTTTACTTTTCGGTTTTTTTTTATTACAGATTGATTATTCGTTTTCTTTGAAATACGGTTTTTAAAATATGATAATAATTTTGGGAATTTCAAAGATTTTTATCGATATAGTTAAAAAAAGGCGTGTTAAAATATATTTCCATTATATAGTTACAACAATATAGTATAAATTGAAAATTGTAGGTACTAAATTGTCAAAAATGTTTATGCGTTATCGTGATGACATTCTTACCAGATTGTTATACTTACATTATGTTAACGGCATACTTTTACATTGCCAAACAAGTAGAAAATTACAATAGATTAACGATGCCCTAATATAGAGAGACACATACCACTTAATGATACCGCTTACTTAACATTCGGTACCATACCGAACATTCTATTTTAATTTAAAAATTAATAAGTAACTGAAACAATCTTGATAAAGTGGACATCTTCAGGATGTCAAAATAATCATTATCGTTTAACTATACTTTAATACGTCTTTTTTTTTATTAAATGGTCGTGAACTGAATTTATTGACAGTCTGAAGATGCAACTATATATTTCCGAATTGCATACAAAATTTTGAGTATTTGTCGAATACAAATACTGTTAGATAGTATATATTTAAGATAAAGATGTATTAAATGAAAATTGATTAACCTCAATTGAATACTATATATTATGTGTCACAGCTACAGTGTTCAATTGCACAAAAGACTTATTTTGATAATGTTATTACTAGTTCAAATTTTATGGTTTTTTTAATTGCTATATAAATTTTATTAAATATTTAACATTTATCAACGCATTTTATTTTTTTCCATATTTTATCCCAGATGGGAAAAGAGAAAGGGATTCGTAAGAGTAAAGAGACCAAAATGTTTTGATAGCATAGAGCGTCAAAGTTGTGGCGATAATGTATTCTTATCGTCTAGAGTGCTCCTTTTCATTCAACAGAACATTTTTTTTTACCGTCACTTGCTGTATAAAAGACAGAATCCATTAGTTGTCATTATTGATGTGTACCAAGAATACCTACCTACTTACCGGCACAGGTGAACTGAACGTGTTCCATTCCGTCGATTTGGTTAGTTGAACGAAATCGATAATTCCCCGATCTGTCCATCTAGTACATTTCCTTTGCCGTCTGAAGTGTTGAATTGGACACGTCCTTCCGTATACATTCAGTTCTTGCTGAGAAATGAGTGTGACTTCTGATTAATTCCCTCAATCGTCGATTTATTATTCACGGATCATGTAACTAGAGATGACAAAGTCAGTTCCATCAAGGGATCAAGTGCAATGACTCCAATTCCGACTGCAGACTCGGTTCATTTTTACAGGTGCAGGTGCATGGATTTGTGGAATTGGAGGAGGCAATACGATCGACAATTGCTCTTTTAAACATTTCGTTACCTAAAAGGATTTTGAAATATACCCAAAAAAGTGTTAATTATTTAACCCACTTTAATTAAAAAATGATACAGATTTTTGAAGTTTTAAGCACTGTAGCGAATTCTGAACTGTTACAACGTACTGACTTTGATTAATTAGCTAATCAGTCAGCGTGTTCACTGGAACTGTCTTCATCTTTGGAATCTTCCGCCAAATCGATGATAATCCTACTTTCATTTTCATCATATGTGACCATTTTTGCCCAGTCGTCCTGAATTAATTTTTCAGTATGGTTAACACAAGTCGCCCACACTACAGGTGTTGCCTCAGCTAATGCATCGCCCTAAACTTTTTTCACTGTTTCATCTCCACGTCCATGTTCTCCAATATGACGATCATAGTATTGTTTAGAAATGCCCCAGACCAACTCAATCGGATTATATTGACAGTGATATGGAGGCAATTTCAAAACCTGATGCCCATGTTCTTGGAGTAGCTCGTCTATAACGTACCTGGTATTTTGTGGTTTATTCTGGCGACAAAGACTCAATAGGTCTGTCTTGTCCGAATCGTCGTCAAAAATTATTTTTTTCGCTCGTAACCATTCTTGTAAGTCCGATTTTTTCCAACTGGCATTCGTTAACTTTTCTATTAAAGAGTTACGGTATAAGGCATTATCCATTAGAGATGGTTCCTCCAACATTGGTATCAGCTTTTCGGAGACCCACTTTTTAAAATACTTTATCCATAGAATCCTGATAACCTGCACTCTTCGATTTCGTAGAAAACAGTAATCCAGCATCTTTAACAAATCCTTGCTTACTTCCTGCATGTAAAACAACAAAGCGTTTACCTGTATTTCCGTGTCCTTTTCTGATGCTTTTCACACAGTCATCTTGCCAAGTTCGTTTATAAGCCCGTTTTAGGAATATCCATGTTTCACCTAAAAAAACGAACTGAAGTGGGCTTGGACTTAAAAAATTTCTCATATAATGCCTCAAAAAATACAGTCGTTTGGAGACAATACATGGCTTCTCACATAGCACTCGTCTACTATTTTCTAGTTTGTATGAAAACCCACAATTTTTCATAAGACGCCACAAACTTGTATCAGAACCGTCATAGAGATGCTTGTTTCTTGTGTATTTAGAACTTTAATTGTAACGTGCTCTCTTTTTGCTTTCATGCCATACAGTACATTTCTAATCTCTCCTTTTATAGTATCGCTGACATCATTAGTCTTTTTTTTTGTACATTACGTGACTCTCCTGGTGTAGTAAGAGCTGCCCCTGTCTTGTATTCACTCTTTATTCTTGTCACTGTGCGAAGACTGATTTTCAAAGCGTCCGCTACTCGTTCATGTACCGATGATAACGAAAGCAAAGGTCCGTTGTTTTATTTTTTACAATACTCCAGTAAATGAACTACACATTGTCGTATTTCTCCTGTATCGTTTTTCCCGGCATTTTTTTTATTAAGTAGAACAATTAGATATTCACAACAAAAAATAATAAGTAAAACTGTTCGGAACAAATTCCAATAATGAATGACTAAAATCGACTAAAACAACATAAAATATCAATGGTAATTGCTACAATTATAAACCTATTAGCCAGCCCTTTCAAGAACAATGCCACAAGTCATTATTGCAATGGGTATCGGAAGAGAGAGAGTTAATTTATAATAAACTGGAATTTTTAAGGTGTCGAGAGTATTATTTTATGTAATGGAATTCCACACAGTAAGAGCTCAAACTATTAATTAATTAAAAACTGTTTACTTATAAAAACTATTTCATCAGCTACTTCAAACCTGCACAGATCAGGGTAACATGTTAAAAAAAAACACGTCACTGCCAGCTATCTGTATTCGTAAAGAGGCCGAACTTATCACCGACACCGTGTCGGCCAAACGCATCGGTGTTATTGCTACAATACTGAGAGACGTGAGTGGTCTCTTCATTCCCTTCTCATCGCACTTTACCATGACGAACGTGACTCGCAAAATTGAATTACGCATCTGTGTATCAGAGAGAGACGAATATTAAAAATTCCGTAGTAGCTTATTTCAGGCACACGCCAAGAACGATGAAAACGAGTATAGACATTTTACTCCCTTTTGAAACTAACTTCATCAGTTAGTGGGGAAAAATACATATCGGCATCATTAGTAATTGTATTTACTGCAGGTCTATTAAATGTAACCGAGGAAATGATTACTTCTGGCGAACTGAAATCAGATTTATCAAACCAAGTTATTGGTAAACTAAAAATGGACTCCAAACACGATTCACTAATATTGAATTTAATGTTGCGCTGGCTGCCAATACGTTTTTAGATCCATGTTTCAAGCTTCTACCATTTTAAAGGGCTGCAGATCAGATAAAGAAAAAAATGACAAATATGGCAACAGATCTCGTTGTACAAATTAGGGCTCCACCGCAGAGAGAAATGGAAAAAGAATCGACTCCTAGCAGTGAACTAACGAGAAGCAAATATTCGCTTTGGTCTTCTTTAGATAACATAATATCTAAGAAAACAACCAGTAGGGACAGGGATCAGTAAAGCTATCAATGAAGTGCAGCGTTATATTGAAGATGATATCTTAAATAAAGCGAAGATTCCCTTCTTTGGTGGAAAACCAATCGTCATTATTATCCCACTTTAAGTTCACTTGTAGGAAACAAGTTTGTTGTTTCCTACAAGTGACTTAATAAATTTTAGACATTCTAGTCTATAAATATCATTTTGCATATTTGTTTTTTTATACTTAATATTGTAATAAAAAAATATTTTTATTAAAGAATTTATTTTTTAATAGCTATTTATTTTTTTGACACATTGCAGTGTAATTTGACACCACATTAATTATCATAAAAAACCAATTTTGCTCAAATAACATCCTTGCCCATTCCCTAACTGCTATGAGTGACCCGAGAGAAATAGATAGATACTATCTTTCTATAAATTCTAATAGATTAACAAAACTACCTCATTAGTCGAACCTGTAGAAAAAGCAGGTCCGGCTTTAAAAATTTTGAAATGAAACATTTTCCGAATCAACAATATTATAAATGATGACTTCAACCAACAACGATAACATTAATAAACCTTACACCTATTTAACTGCCCTCACTCAACAACAACCTACCGCTTTTCCATCAAAAGAATGAGCTGTTGTTTTTAATTCCTTAAATGGTGTTAAATTATAAGCATACTCTTAGTCATTGGAAATAATGTTAATCCGAAGAACATCTTATTCTGTTCAAGAATATCCAACAACCGAATATGTATGTACTTATCAAGCAAAACTATCTTAGATGAATTCATGAAACAACATCGAGGAATAATCGC